ACTTCTGTCAAATGCAAGAAAAAGTACATATAGCCCTGCTAAAATAATAATTAAAAAAGAAAAAAGGAGGCATTCTTCGGCTTCAAGAAAGGGAAGAAATGGGTCAGTAATAAAGAAAAGTTCATTCTTTCTTTTCTGTTCATACTACAGGAAGAATTTATTCCTGTAGCTATTGCAACCAATTTATTCCTAGTTGTATCCTCTGAGGATCTGACCTGTTTGTGGTTGTGAGCATTGTGTCAAGGTTTGTTTTCTTCTGCCCTTTATGAATCGTTCTTATCTGTGTGCACATTCTTGGACAGATTCTTCCCCAGTGTAATGCTACTAATTCTGTTGATATGATGTCAGGAGTCTATTAGGTCAATTCTAAAGTTATAGGGCTCAATCCTGTTATTTTAAAGTGTTTTTCTGGCATTAGAAAAGAGCCATAAAATGAGTCTGCATGTGAATTATGCCCACTTCAGGCATAATAGAAAAAAAAAAAATTTGAAGCTGACATCTTTCAACAGTGATCCCTGAGACAAGCTTTAAATGAAACAGGGTTTTGTGAAAACAGGAAGTAAAATATTTTGAGCTCTGTAACTATGTTTTAATCTGTGTAAATATATTTCACCAAACTGGGGAGTACACATATATTCAGAAATGTATTGGAACACCTGGATTCTGAAACCAGCCCTTGCTTTGGCTCTGGGCGATGAAAACTTCTTCTGCCTCTATTTATGTCTCAGTAAAGAATCACTTAGGGATTATACTGGCAGATACTGTTCTATTGTGCCTTTCAGAACTATTCTAAACCTGTTTTATTAGTGCTTATAAAATCAATTCAGATACATAGGGAGAAGGCATTGAAATATTTTGTAGAGGTTAAAAAATTATTTAAATTTCAGGCCGGTGTTGCCCCACAGACCAAACTGTGGGCACCAACCATATATAAGATTCAATAACCCTATATAATGTAATGACAATATATAAATGAAAATAACCTTGGTCATCAGATGATTAAATTCTGGAAGAGTATCCTGTAGGAATTATAGGGCCTGAAAACCTATGTAATTGTAAGGTGTGGCTGAATCAGCATATCAGTAGTAGTTTATAACATAGTTGCATGCGGTGGAGGAGAGTAACCTCCTTAGAATCCCTTATCCTGGTGTCCCTTGTAGCTGTCAGCCCTTTATAAAATGCTTGGAAGATGTAAATGGTGTAACTTTACAGAGAACATGCTCAGTAATGAGTTCAGTGTTTGACTTAATCAAAAGAGTGATCATTTGTCTTTGAGTGAAAATTACTTTCTGCTTGTCTTTTCAGAGTCTCAGTCTGTAAATTTTTTGTCGGCACTGATTGCAGTGGGAGACTTATTTGGAATAGGTGTACAAAACCTGATAACTTTTGAAGACTAGCAATTTCCCCTCTTAAAGGTATCTGCTTGCTTTTCAGTTACTGAGACATTTCTCTGCGTGTCACTGGGTTGCCCCTAACTTCCCAGGTCTTCAGTCCCCAGCTTTGGTATGTATGCTTGGGTGGGCAGCTATCGAGACACTGACCTTCCTTAATAGTCAAACAAACATTTAATTATTTCCTGAGTATTTTCTAATTTAAAAAGGGAAAAGCCCTTGTAAATGCCTGCTGCTAAAACTCTGGTTATATATGCACTGTTGAACAGCAACCAGAACGAGGGAATTTTGTGTGTTCTGCAGAATGGAAATCTAATTTTAATTTATGGAGGAGAGGGTGATTTGACTTGACCAGATGCTAGACATGCAACCTGTGAAACTTCTGTCTGCCTAAATTCATAGGCAAAATAGGCAAAAGGGATGGTTCGAACAGTTTCTCAAATGAGATGTTAATATTCAGTTTTAATGAATAAGTCTTCACTTCACAACTTAAAAAGACTCTGCTATTTTATTTTTAAACATAAGCTGTTTGAGTCCTGTCTCTGTGAAGATCTGTGCCTTAGTTTTCTTAAATTCAAGTTTGTTATTTTAGAGAAAAGGTTAAATATGAACCCTGAAGATTTAAAAACAGCAACAAAAATGAAAAGAGCTCTACATTAATTTTTATTTAAAAATTTCATTATTTCTCTTCCTTGACACATACTTAGGGTTGGGTATATTTGAAAAATAGCTAGCTAAATTATTTTGCTGTATCCAGCAATGTGCTGAATTAGCTATGGTAGGCTTTTTATCTAGCAATTATTCTGCAAGGTTTCCTTCCTCCCTCCCTCCCTTCCTCAGAACAGTCGTTTTTGCAACTCTCACACTTTGGTTGAAGTTTATGACAATTTTGTGTCCTTCACTATCAGTAATTCATTGCTAGCGCCTTCAGTAGTTCCACTGGTCTTTTTTGCCTTGCAGAAGTCCCTACGAAATGCTGCAAGAAGCAATGTTTTTGAGTAATTTTAACAAAAGCATCAGGCCTAGCTGCCCTGGATGTTCCTGCAGCCCTCCTTTCCAAAGCTGTTACCTTCCACATTCACGGCGAGCAAGGCAGCTGGTTCCTTTCTCCGGGAGGGAGCCTGTGTGTTCTTGCCCTGCCGTTTACCCCCTGCGTGCAGGTGGGCAGTGGCACCTGCAGGGAAGGGTCACTCGCCCGAGCCCGGCGCTGGGGAGGGGTTCAGGGCGTGTGTGCCGTGCCTCCAGCAGGGTGGGCACCCGGACGCTCCTTACTTTTGCCTCTGTACCGTGTTGATGTTTTCGTGTTGTCACTAAAACAAGCAAGGGCTCTGTTTGGACTGAGTGCCTCCGTCGGGGAGCTCCAGGAGAGGATGTTCCGTGCTGTCTGTCAGAACCCCTGTGGCGAAGGAGAGCATCCTCGTTTGCTCATGGATTTGTTCCCTGGATGTCTGGTCTTGTGCTCATGGCTGGGGTGGGAAGGATGTTTAAGCTCTCTTCACCTTGCCGATGCAAAGCCTTAAAAACAACCCTTTAAGAAATGACCTTTAATATCTGTAGTAAATGAGAGCAGGGAGCTGGACTTGATGATCTGGAAAGTGTGCTTCAGGGTAAAATCTTGTAAAAAAAACCTAAACATTTCAGTTAGTTCCGTTTCTGTGGAGACGTGATTTGAGGTATTACTTCATAATTTCAACCAAAGAAACCTCTGACTTGTGTGACTTTTTGGACACGTGATGAAACACCCCTTTAGGGAAGTTCTTGCAGAGACAAGATACAAAGAGAGTTTGTCTGTGTAAGCAGCTGAGAGGATTGCTCGCTCCCCAGTTTGTGCTGATTTATATGTGACTGGTTGCAGCAGAATAGATGGACTCGCTGCTTTGACTCTACTGTGAACAAGAGAAAAATACACTCAATTGATAATGTTTTAAATCAAAATAAATAATGACACTGTGAAAAGATATTAATAGAAAACTGTGCAGAAAGCATCTGAAACCAAACCTTTGTCCATTGTTTCCACTACATATATTTCTTAAACTGGTTTTCTCTTCACATTTTTTATTAAATATCTTGGTTGCCTTTGGCCTCTTACACCACTGCAACAAAAAAATGACAAAGTTGCAATCCCATCTTCTAGGTTCCATCCAAATATACATTCCTGATTACAAAGCATCAGTCGCCGCCGAGGCTGGAAATGGCCTGTTCTGCTTTGAGGAAGGGGGAGGCGGATCACCAATGGTTCCTCAGGCTGTCATGTTTCTGAGAATCAGCTGTTTTTTCTTTATACTGCAAAGATTAAACAAAGAATGTTAAACATTTCCCAATTTAGCATTTATAATGCAAAGCGGCTGTAGAGCCACAGCTTGCTGCTGCAAGGGCAGGCATTCATACGAGGAGTCATTTAAAGAGGTTTTTATTTTATTTGAAAACCTGTCCAGCCTCCCAGCCCAGCCAGCCGCTGTGCTTTGCAATCGGGTGGAGGCAGCTTTAAATTTTTACTTTCATTTAAGTAGGAGCTAATTTACGTTTGGAAGTGAAAGTTAAAGCATCTCAGCCATCTGCAAAGTGGAGGAGGAGGCAGTGGGTTTCTTTAACTTTTCAAATTTCTACAGTCCTTTTTCACATCAACAGGCAAGCAAAAATTACCTTTCAGAGCTCATATTAGTAATAATATGTAGTATTAATAATCCAATTTCTTAGCTTCAGTTCTTTGTCTTAGTTTCTAAGATATACCTCTTGGGTAAGTTCAAGCACCTTTATACTTGTATCCAGGTCAGGAGTTTAGAAATAAAAAGTTGTAATCTGGAGTGCAGCAAAATCACATTTTTTGACGACCAGACAGCCCAGCTTCCTCTGTAGCATTTCATTAGGGGTTAAGTGGAGCACTCTGACCTTCTCTTTGCCATAGTAAAGTCAAAGGACACTTAAGGGTGGCTGGTAAAGAAAAAAAAAAAGGAGGAATGGCATTTTCATATACTGTCATTGTATATACTTCTATCATGTATGTTTATCACCCTTTCTTATTTTTCAGTTTTACTTGAACAGTTCATAGTGGAGACAAATAAATTGTTCAGTCTTTCTTAGTTAAGAATTTCACTGTTATGCTAATATGTATCTTATTTCCTGTCAGAATGAAATAAGTGCCATTACAGTTAGTTGGATTTTATTAAAAGAGCAGCTAAAAATGTCCTTTTCCAGCCTCTCCATTGGCTAGTTTTCAGAAATTCAGTCGTCTTCTGCTATCTCATAGGGACAAGAGCTAAACTTCTTACATAATTAAACCATTTTCAGAAAAAATATTTCTGGTTTCTTGTATAAACTGTAAGCACCATAAAGAAGTCAGATATCCATTTTCTGCCTTCTCCAGCCTGCCTGCAAGTAGATTTTGTCTAAACAAAATAGCCTTGTACTCGGCTGTCACAAACATTTGTGTATTACTTGGATGTCTACATGTGTAATTTCATTTGCCTCCTTCAGTAGCTTAAATATGTTTGTAGATGCTCGCCCACCTTTTCGTTTCTTAAGGCAAGCTTTTTGCTATGATTTTTTTTTATAACTCAAAGTTTGAGTATAAAAAATACTTCAATCTCCTTGTGATTACATTTCTTACAGAATGTTGGAATTTTTGGACTGTGCATCTGTTTAGGCACGTGGAGAAAGACAAGACTGAGATCATGTAAGTCATGAAACTGAGAGTGAATAATCCATACTTTGTTCTTTCACCATTTTTTCAATTTATACCCAGATGCAAGTAATAAACCAAAATGAAGAAAAGAACCAACTAGTTAGCTTTTATTTTTAAAGTGATTAATGAAAAGCAAAGTTCAAATGAGGCCACAAATCCTGGTGGTGCACAATGGGTTGATTTATTTTGTAAATAGACCATGGATAATTAAGCATAAAACAAAACTTTTCTTTTTTTTTTTTCTTTTCTTTTTCTTTTTTTTTTTTTAAATTGCATATACACACTGGTTTCTTTTAGTTGCTGTGAGTTGCACAGAGGGATAACGACTTATTCACAACTGGTTACAACTAGTTACAGCCAAGAAAAGAAAAATCCCAGAGCAAAGAGACGAAAAAGGCTCTTAAAACCCTACTGCACTTGGAGTTTCATAGTAAGGCATTTGCTAGTGGTTACAGACTGGGAAAAGCAAGAGTAGATATTTACACACTCTGATGGTGCTTGCCGTGTTATCCCATGTTTTGGCTCAAAACTCATAAGAAAAAGACAGCTCCTGCAGCTGGCCTTGTAGTCCACAATTTTGTATTGACTTCTAAATAGAATTATTTGTGCTTTGTTGCAAGTTTCCATTATGTGTCTTCCTACTCTTACACTGAGGGAAGAGTCTTCTGGATAGTCATAGTCTGACTTGCTGCCAAGTCCTCTTGTGAGCCAGAGTGATGCTAGCTTTTCAGATATGTGAAATGAGAAAACTGTCTGCCCAACATCCCCAAAATTTGTCTCTTCATAATCCACAGTCATCTGTGGAAGGGATCTCTGATGCCCAAGAAGGAGAAGGTCCAATTTGTTGTGAAAGTACATTCACTACTGATTAAAACTACCAGCTGGGATTACAGTCCTGGAGACTGTAAATAAAGTAGAGCATGAGATGTTCAGATGACAATATGGCCACTTTTGTGGTGGTTTGTGTTAGTTGCCAGTACTTAGATTTGCTCATCTCATGCCAATTTATTAGAGTGAAGAGAAGGATCATGTAGGTAACAGCCAATAAGCAAGAGGTTGGAGTTGCCACATAGCAACTGACTATGGACACCTTAACTTGCTCGCACATGCCACGTGCGCCTTAAAATGCTTTTGACGTATTCGTAAGACCTGCAATTCACACAAAGCTAAAATCTGTGTTCATGTCGCCTGTTGGTGCAGCTGTGCTCTGTTTCACAGATGGTGACTCTAAGGGACTTGCAAAAAGCCGTCCTCACTCCAAACAATGGCCTGGGCAGGCAGAGGTAGTGGGTAAAAGTGATTATCGCTGGTATTGTTTTAGCTGTGTTGACTCAGTTTGTTACTGCAAGGTTGCAGACTGGTGTTTGTAGGGTCCAACCCTGATTTGTGGGCATGCAGTTTCCTCTGCGAATTTGGAGAATTTCTTTGTCAGAATGTACTGCGAGACTGAGGAGAGGAGAAGCAGGTTATTAATGTCTGACCATCACCTCCACCTGCTTGAGCCTAGTGCAGATCACTGGGAATAAAGATTCCACATTTTTAGTCTAGATCCCAGTTACAAGGCAAGATCTCAGATCAGCGCTTTAAACCCACAGCTAGAGAACTGATGAGTTCCCACTGTGTTACTGACACTGGTAACTAGAACACATGGGCTGCCACTTGTAATCTGCTTTTAGGCCAAAGAGTCAATTTAAAATAGCACTTAGTTTGAGCAAGAGGCTTCTGTTGTGGGTGGGAGTCATGCTGGGGGCAACATTAGCATTGTACTTACGAACAACACTGCAGTGAAGACAAGACCCCAAAAATAAGTTAACTCTGCAAGGCTCAATACAGTCTTTGGCTTCTCTACAGGCCCTCTTGGAAGGGAAGCCAGCCAAGGTCCACTGTGGTAGTGCTAAAAGGATGAGCCTGGCCCATGGCATTCCTCTTGAAACTGCTTTTTATCAGGCTTGTGCTTCTGGGAAGTGTGGCAATGTACGGAATCTGCTGCATACTGTTTATGAGTTAGAATTTGATTTTATTGACTAACAGAGTCCTTGTATCTTGTGACAATCTTTTTCTGTGCTTTGCATCATGCCAAAGAGACAGGGGAGTGGTGTTGGCATGTCTTTGTATGAATAGGTCTGTCATTAAATATTTGAAATAGAAACATCTGAAATAGATCTTGCCTGAGAAGAACAATGGGATAACTAGAGAAAGCCAGTTTTCTCCAAATTTGCTTTTGGGGCTGGGAGTTTTAAGCAAACAGAATGAAAAAAAAAAAAAAAAAAAAAAAAAAGAACAAAGAGAGCAGGTTAGTTCATGGGCTTAGAAACAACAAACCCAGGGAGGTGTGAAGGGAGACAAGGAAAGTTAAAAGAGAAGAGAGTGGAGGGATGCTTAGCAGAGGAAGGGGTTTTCTTGGTTTTTCTTGTTTTTTTTTTTAATAACTAAGACCAGCTAAGGGAGAGGGAAGCTGCTGGTAAAAGGATTGAAAATCCTTCATTCAGAGGAGGCACTGTTTTGTAAAGGCAACCTTTATCACTTGATGTGGATCTGAGCCCAAGTACCATTGAATGCTAATGATGAGGATGCTGAGGCATGGACATGCATTTGGGTATTTCTTGTCTTCTGTGGTCTCTGTATCTGTATTTTTATTTTGTGCAGGTTGAGGATTCAGTCATCTTCCTCAGGCAGTTCCTCTGAAATCTTACTGTTAGGAAAGGGTTACAGGCAGCCTTTGCTGCAGGCGCACACAAGATGAAGGGCAGGATTTTCAATTACTTTCAGATTGTGGAAAGTTGTTTGTTGTCAGCACATGGGTCCAGTATGCAGAACACAAATTCAACAGTCTACTTGGTGTGCAACAGGAAAAACTCTGTTAGAAGTAATTGTAGTTCAAGCTTTTGAACAAGCCTTTGTGTTTTTCTCCTGTGCTAATAACCTATTGGTGAGGATATGCAAGCCAAACTCCTTTTATTTTAGCCACTCTTATCTCCTCCCAAATACCTCTCCCCAAATCTAAGACCTAAAAAACTCCACAGGTAATCCCAATAGTTTTCCCCAAGATTTTGCCCATCTCAGCCTTGCCAAGTGTGGCATCTTTGGTTGTAGTAGGGAGGTTCAAGTTCTGGTTAAAAATGCTTTCATGGGGAATTAAGTAGTACCGTTGTTTGAATACTTCTCCAAGCACTGCATTCAGAAATACACTTTATTAGAAACAAAAATTTTTTGGTTCTTACTGAGGTTCTGACCACGTTACAGAAATCCCTCACCAAATGGTATGGGAGACAAGCCCTTCCCATAAGCATCTCGGTGCTGAAACAGCCAGGGATGACTAGGAATGATGTGCTGTGCTTCAGCTCTCCTTCTGCTCTTCCTAAATGAACAGTTTCATGTGTTGGCACTCCTGCTGCTACCTGATCTGGGTGAAAGCCCTCAGTTCTTCCCTGTTTAGGCCAAGGTTTGTCTTATAGTTTCGGTCAAGCTTCACATGACTTCATGGTATTTTGCATTTTAGTAATTTGCAAATGTATGAGCAGTGATCGAGAACTTTCTTAGCAGGTGAAGCAAACAGTTAAAGGAATTTTAGATGTTAAATATCTTATTAATCACAACTGCTCTTATATTTTTCTACCAATTAAGTTGAAGGTTAAAGGGCAGAGCAGAAACAACTTACATTCCCCTCATTTCTCCTCACTTCAGATTCTTCTGGAGGAGTAGGACTGTCTGTGGCTCTCAGTCTGCTGTTTTACCCTGCTCAGAACTAGTTCTGATACTTCCCCAAATGGCAGCAGGAATGAATGGTACCTGACCCAACAAAATATGTGTTAGTTGTTACATAACTGGCTGTTTGAAGAAGCCTCTTACCTTTCATAAGAGATCGGTAAGCTGGTGGATCGGTAAGCTCCACCAGTTCTTGGATAAGAGCAGCATATCAGCTGGATTCTTAATAAGAATTCGATTATCACTGATATATTGGTAGTATTGTAGAGGTATCACAAGCTTCTGAGGCTCACTAAAGTGTATTGAAGGTCGGGACTAGAAGCACTAAAAAATACTTACTGGTATTCTATTTGTATGAAAATACTAGTTTATTTAAAAAAAATACTTCCAGGATTCTTATTTGTTTTTTCTATTCATATTTCCAGATAAAGCTTTTTGGCATTTGTGGAACAGAAATGCATTTGTTTCAAACTTTTATTTCAAAAATGTATTTTATGTTCTAATATTAAATTTAAGTCAAAACTGAAAGTAGCTATCAAAACAAAATTATTTTGTCAAAACAACATTCAATTGATTGAAATGATTTTTTTATTTTTGTTTCATTGGTAACTTTGCAATGCAGTGTTTAATTCAACTGTGAAACAAAAGCAAATTTCAAAGTCTAGGTATCCTGTGAAGCAAAAATACTGCTTCTAGATGGTGCTTAAAGGAGTGCTTCATTAGAATTCCACTGAATCTTTTTAATAAAATTAAAAAAAAATTAAAAAGTGTGAGGACCCAACAGGACAAGAGGAAGGAGGCCTCAAACTGTGCCATGGGAGGTTCAAGTTGGACCTCAGGAACATTTTTTTCACTGAAAAGGTTGTAAAGCATTGCAATGGAACCACCATCCCTGGAAGCACTCAAGAAATGACTGGATGTGGCACTTAATGCTGTGGTTTAGTTGACATGGTGGTGTTCAGCCAAAGGTTGGACTCAATGATCTTGGAGGTCTTTTCCCATCTAAATAATTCTGACCCTTAGACTATGCTGAAATTGATGTTATTCTATCTTTGTTCAGTAACAGCTGATCAGCACCCAGCTCTCTATAACTGTACGTAGATCTCCCCTGGAAATGTATTCTGTGTCTCTGCTCAGCAAATTGGGAAGCCTCTGATACTGTTTCAGCTCTCCTTACTTCCATCTCTGTGGGCTGGTTCTGAATCAAATTTTGGGTCCCATCTGAGTCCAGCTGCTTGCATAGGAAGCAAACAGTTGAAGGTAATTATAGTGTGAGTGTAAAGCTA